TAGAGGTAAAGGGAAGAGGGAAGGACAAAAAATCGTTTAGTACTGTGAATAATATTAGCCAGACGTATTTTTTGAACGCTCCTCTATGATGACAATTTGTATGTGACTAGATAATACGTAATATAATAACACGTACGTAATCAGCTCGTGACTCTTTTGTGTAATTACTAAAACCACTGAATAAAAGTTGATTATTGGAGGAATCATTTACTATGCGGCTTGTATAAAGAGGAAACACACGCAAATATTAAACAGGTTGGTAAAAAAAATTGGTCCATCAGTTAAATCTTCTATTTGCTTTATATAAAATAATGTGTACGTAGAAAGAGATGAGGGTAATTTGTGTAGTGCAGCTATACTTCATATAAATTGATGTACACTAATTAATAGAACGTATTCAGTCATATGTAAGAAAGCTTGTGATCTTCTAATTCATCCCTCTCTACTGTTTAATCTATCTTTCAGTATGGCGTACATGAAATCTAGATTTAGAGGTCAACGTTTTATTTTTGAATAAACCCAATTTTTGAAACCCAATTACAGTAGAGCTACCAAAAATAAAACTATATGAGCAAACCACATACGCAGCTGAAAAAAAGAAAGGACTAGCCGCAAATGTCGCTTCGTTTCAACGACGAAGGCGTTATTTTCGGGACATCGGTCAGGGGACTGAAGCAAAGAAGCATAGCATTCACAAGTTTCCGACGCAGGACCTGCCCAATTTTTTTGTCAAATTTGCCACGTGGAACACTAATCTGTACTAAATAACCCCGAATATGAGAAAAGTGCAATCGTGTCAGGACTAAACTGGTTTAATTAGAGTTGCATGGAGTCATCTGCCAACTTCCTAATCAGACTGTGCTCATGTTTACGGTTGTATATTTCTTTATGTAAAGCAGTCAGGTTTCGAGCCGGACATTTGCGGGCCGGAAGTTACGAATTCGCCTGAGTCACAACGATACCCATTTAATATAAAGATTTATCTGCAAGAAAATTGGACGAACTATTGCTGAAGCAGAACGTTCTTGAAATGTATAGCGCTGATGTTCCGCATTGGGCTGTTTCAAACGAGTCAACAAAAGTAGAATATAGGCGTACTCTTTTCGGATTTAAACTAATGGCACGACATGAACCATAACGGATACATTTGGTAAAAACAATAAAATGTTTGTTTACGCTAGATAAAAGTGAGCAGTAACGAAATACGAATAAAACGATTCAAAGGGGTCAACAAACAAATAGCAGTTACGTAGGACCAACAGCGGGGAACATAAGACGGCTTGCCAACTATGGCTGTATTACAGGGATTTGGAGTCTTTGTAGATAAACAGAAGGCAAGCGGAAGATGGGCTGTAAAATAGGCAAATCGAAATGTGGATGCCGTCAAATGGAAATCGATAGCCTGAGTTAGTTTTTGTCGTATCGTAGGCAGGTGTGTAAGACCGATTAGCGAGAATTGGCGTCGCAAAAAACCAGCAGTGATAAAACAAGGCTAACTGAGGCACGCCTATCCGTTTCCCTATGCTCAGAGCCGATAAAAAAATATAGAAGCTGATATCTAAAAGTGCTATCGTCATCGCTCGTTTGCCATAGCAGTACTGTCATAATACAGATCTCAGGTTTGAAGGATAAGACGCGACAACTGTGCGACTTGAGACTGTGTCAAGTTACCTGCTTTTAGTATCAGCGTAAGTTAGGTGTTCATTATCAATTTATTGCAATAAAGTTGTGAAGCTTTGGTCAGGAGTTCCAGCGGGTACTACGAAGTAATGCGAAAGCTAAATAATGTGAAATCGTTTACTAAAAGATTTCTGCAATTTATCGAAGAAAATCTCATTAATATAAACATTGCTTCCCCTAATCCTCATTCTCTTATTGTCATTAATTGCTTATTTCTCATCTTATTGGCGTCTTATTATACTGTCCGAACGGATAATAATGAAATTCCTAATTATATCATATCATCGCCCATTTACGCATCGTCTACGCGTTTACTACCTTTTTGTCTCTGATCTTTAAAAAATAAATAAAGTATTTCTTTTTAAAAACAAACATTTAGCTAACATATTGTTAGAGCTACGTTATACTCGATTGAAATGTCGCACGAAACAAAACCGGCAACTAGGCTTTCAAACGTTTAGCTTTTCATGTTACGCTAAATACAAGGGAGAATTTTCAAATATCTGGCGTGAAATTGTCAGCAAGTAACGTCCCTTTTTCGAAAGGAAAGCCATTGAAAAAAAAATTATTTATTAAATAATGAGCAATGACTTTTATTTTAATACCATGGACACAGAGTCCTCGTATGAATGCTGTTACAGGGTAAACCATTGTTATGCGCCCATAGAGCACATGCACAGTTTACCATATCTAAAAAGATTAGACTGATTTCTTCAAGTATTGTCTCTTTCAGGTGTAAGTGTCAACACCATAATGGGTATGAAAGAAGCTGGCCCTGGCTGGTTGCGTCAGAGAACTCCATGAGTATGAATTCGCTACCTCGAGGATGAGGACACGAGAAGAATAGTTTTTAGCGCATGTCATGTTCCATCGGGATAATGGTACCTAGGTAACTATCGATATCCAAACACAAAGCACTAGCGCGTACGTGGCCGGTAGGAATAGTCTCGTTTCGAAACGTTGCATAGGTATCATTCGAACTTGGGAATCGGTCCCAGTCACAATGAACTCCGCACACAACGATTCGGTGTGCTGCAATAATATTCCCTTCTTCCTATTTGTTTCCGTACATGCATTCTTTCATCTGCCGTAGCAGATTTTGGTTCACAGACGCTAAATTGCTGTTACCCCACAACATGAACGAATATATAAAGGTAGTTCGCCGAAAACAGATCTGAGTAGATTGAGACAGATACGAAATAAAAGCTGCCAATGGACAAAGTGGCACAACGATACAACACGTGTCCATCGAAGATCATGTTAACATGTGCCTCTCGTATCGGCTGGCATCGATGCGAACCTATCAACTTCGGGGAATTATATCTATATAGGGCAAGAAACAGCCGAACACTGAAATTTCACATAGAAGAAGGTTTGATTCACCGTTCGTAAACTATGGCATCTAAAGCTTTTATAGAACAACCGATTCCGACAAGGAAATGCAGATATTAATCGACAAACCCGAGCATTGCATCACTACAACGAAAATACGTGAGAGATATAGCTGACATAAAAATAAAGTCAAGCAGATCATATGTAAGGAATGAGATTTCTATATTGAAAAAAAAAAGATGCGGATTGTCGAAAAGAAAGCAAATTGCTGATAATAAATACAGAGTTAAAAGGCCAACAAAAAGAACAAGATCTACTACTACACTTGAACGGCAACAATTAGAACCAAAGCGATGTTTACAGAGCTAACACTCATTTTCCTAACGCGGGTTAAGTCTCGAAAAAAGTGTCAAATTAACAAAAACAAATCACACCTAGGAACCAAATATGCAATAGTCAGCCGGTAATTGGAAAGCTAGCCATTTCACTTATAACAAGAAAAAAAGCTTGTCACAATTTTGGACTATGAGAAGGCACCTGGTCATTCATAGATCCGCTAATATACATTTAGTAAAAGTTTACCACAAGTAACAGAGACCTAACACTTTATAGTACCTTGTCTCCGAGAACAAGTTTAGAAAGCTCTAGAAACTCAAATGCTCACTACTACATACTATGGAGGGAATAGTACATTTAAGATAAGTCAACTTTTTGAAAAAAATTCGCAGTATTTGGTTGTTCTCTTACATCATAAGTACAAATGCTGCCTAGTAAAAAAATCCATGAAAACCCATTTCTGCTGTTTATGGTCAAGATACGTTGTTGGAAGAAACGGGCCAACGATAGTTTTGACGCTTTCGTTCTGTAAATTTCGGTGTGGAAGGCGCTTTTCGTAGTGGCCGATCAGTTACAAAAGAGCTCATGAAACCTTTGTGAAAGTTGAAGCAAACATTATCAGTTCTAAGCCTTTTGAAGAAATCTGACTTCAAAAAAAAAAACGAATTTATCCGATTATTCTTTCGATGTGCGAAATTATACGGCAGCACGATAGAATCGTGCATAGCTTCATTACGGCGAGTAGAATATACGTCGTACGCAAAAATAATGCGCCGAAGAAGACTCTGCACAACTCTCTCAATAGTGTTTATTTAGTTTCGATAAAGAGACGCAGATATCAAATTGAATATTGAGTATTCATAAAAATGCATTTCTAACTAGACAGCTATACAGAAAACACATCGGTCGCACTTAACGGGCCGTACTAAACACAGAGATAGCATTATATTCTACGATGCTTTTAGGGGATAGGGGTTAACTAAATTATGACAAAAAGAAAATCATTACCCACAGACGACACTTCATGCACTACAATTGAAAAAACGCACACATGCGTGCTCAGTAACAGCAAGCGATCAAATCCTGGCGCATCATCATGTCAAAGCTTGTTGTTTAGAAGTTTTCTATGAGACCATAAAACAGAATGCCCTCAAGTCATTTTTTAAACATGAGAAATCTTAGAGCACCAAAAAAGCTTCGAATGATGGGAACATTTTAAGTATGTTCATACATACCTATTTCTTAGTACTTTGTTAACGTTAAATAACATTAGACAAAACATACACCCTTCATTTTATTCGGCCTTGCAAAACAATCTAACTAGACAATCCCTTCGAGAAACATTTCGAACCTTTTCAGATCTGTGCAATGTTAGCATTGCGAATGAGATCGAAACCCATACATACATATGGAGCGGGCTCTTTTCTATCTTTTTTCTCATATTGAAGCTCGGAAACGCGTTCACACGATGTGCCATACGATTTCCGCCATTTCCGTGTACGCCCAATGCTGCTACATGTAGTATGGCATAAGCCCTGCCCTGTGCCCACTCGGCCACGCACTGCTCCAATTCAAAATTGCGCGCGCTGTTTTGCGCGCGCCATCAGTTCGAATTCAAACTTTCCCACCGCCCTAAGCCGTCCTTGTCTGCGCACTCCAGTTGACTGTGACGTCACTGCTACGCAGCTGCCTGTGACCAGCTGATCCACTGTTTTGCACAGCTCGAAGCAGGGAACCGAGACGAACATCAAGCACTGCCAGTTAGCCCGAGCAATAAATCAGCTTCACAAGCGCTATTAACATCACTACATACTGATGCTGCAGCTGCATAGAAAAGTAGAAATAAACACGGTAGAGCGCACAGTGCGTATGTGACTAGGATGATGACTTTTGCCCGTTGACCAGTGCTGTCGTTGGATGGACACGGCATCCATCGTCACTGCGAACTGACTGCGTTTACTATGTGCTGAGCCACAATTCTGCGCCGGCTACTGCCGTGAACGGTGATTCGGTTACACTGTCGCCACTACTGCTGGGGCAAGCTTCTTACACCCTCGGATAGCAACTGTCAACGACAAGGCTCTGACGCCTCTCTGCCTGCCAACAAGCTCCCAGTGGAGAGCAGATCGCACACCGAAAGCCAATAATAGGGACAGAAAGACAGACACCCCCGAGTCGAAAGCTGTCTTGGGTTCAGAGGTCGGCTGACCAGAGTCAGTGCAACGCGCCTCAACTGGAAAATTCGGTGCTGTATAATAATAGTTGTTATCACTACTATCCTTGTAACAATGATAGTCTGCTATTAATGCCAGCACAAAGGGTTGTTGTCAAATATTCGATTTGTCAAATCCTTATCGCCATCTGGTTCGAGCGAGGTCTGAGTAACTGAAAGGCGGAATCGACCGCCGTCAGCGACTCCCCAGTAAGACAGCTTGGCAACAAAAATATCTGCCTACACCTAAGGACGAAGCATAAATACGGGAGAACTTCTAGGTGCTGATTCCGAGTTGATTGATTCAGTTGTTTTGCAGAGCTTCTCGCGCTCGAAACAAGCTTAAAGGAACGTTGGGATCACCGAACAGTGATCATTAGAGCTTTAAGAGGAACACGAAAATACTTCAAAAAGAACGAAATAGAAGAGAAAGCAAGACGTTCATCTTCGTGTCGTTACTGCCATAGCAGAAAAAAGAATACTAATAGATAGTGTGGTATAAATTAACTGTGTATCTCTGCGTATGTGCATGTTTGAGGTTTTTGTGACGTGCGAGTGCCAGCTGGTGTCACCAACAAACGACTAGCCGTATCCGCTGACCAACTGAAAGGGCAAATAAACGACGTGTTTAGTGAATCAAAATTGTCGTGAGGTCATTCGTTCACCAGCTATTTGACTAAACGCTAAAGGGCATAGCACATCGAGGGCCAGCTAGTGACTGGCTGTCGGCGTCTTGTGCCCGGGTAAACCACAGCTGCACTGTGCAGGTGGTGGCTTTGCCCCTTCACGATCGATCAGGGGACGACGAAACTGCCAGCGAGCTCCGGTCGAACGAGCCAGAATGTTGGAACTAGCGGTTGTACCAGAAAAATCACTAAGCAACGAAGACATCCAGTTAGTTCTTGGTAAGAAAAAAGAAAAAAAACGTAGATCTATCTGTAATGCAGTGACACAGCATTTGTGTATTTTTGTGTTGTGCTGTTGTACGTAGTTGCTCCCTTCGCCGCTGCTGTTGCTGTTTCTACGTTAGTAGTTCGCATTCAATACGATCAAGTGATTACTGACGTTCTCTTCGCGTCCGTGCGGATCCAGCGCCGACTGGCGCGGTGATTATATACCAATACATCATATTAATGGGTCAGCAACTGCGGCAACATTCAAGAAAGGTTGCTATGTAACGCGAACAGGAATCGAACGAAATCGTGATCTTGGGCGCGATATAAAATAATTCACCTAAAGCTTTGCGCCTGTTGTCTGCTTTAAACCAAAACGACATCGAATAATAATAGACGCTAGTCGTGGTAAACGCTAACGCCTGCTATAGTCTTATTTTAGGGATATCGTGACAGATAATTTGCTGTACGTCGTTCACCTTTTTTGACTGGATGTCTGATGCGCTGTTTTCAATGTTCCTGAGTACAACAGATAGTCTAGGGCGCTATAAGTACACGCTGAGAAACTTTTTTGATAAAATTTAGCTAATGGAAATTAATGCTTCTGCATGCCGCACGTACGCACATCAAGGTAGATCAAATACCACGATACATTGGTATTTATTTATATTTTACGTATATTTTGCACTTAGATCTTCATGTCCGTTAATATTATGCTACTTGGCTTTTCCATACGCTAGGACTACAACAGAAAGATATACTATGCTATTTGAGCACTTGTGCCAAATTTCGTGGGGTTTCATAGACACGGCGGCCAGGTGTGGTGCGCGCTATTGTTTGTCCGGCCGATACTTCTACTACATACACGCACACTAATAGGATAATGAAAATAAACCAATAATAAGATAATCGCCACCTGCAGCAGAAACCAGTGAGCCCATTTGTTCGAAGTCGTCGACTGTGATAGTCAGAACCCCATAGCGTAGGAACAAGGAGAAGCAGACCTACTGGCGATGTTGGCAATTTGCGAGCCACCATGGTGAGTCCGTGTCGCTGCGATGCCCTAGGTTAGAATAGGACTTTGCATAAACGAGCGCGGAAATCGCCGTCGTCCCGGTGATGCGGCGCTATTGTTAGCGAATCTAACTAGTATAAAAGGGGGAAACAGAATAATTAAACGAGTACAGGTATGAGGACGTATTTGAAGTTTGTCGCCGTGGCGCCTCATCAACAAGTTACTGTTGTCGTGGCTGGACCAGTTGGAGCGGGGAGAGAGTCTGAGTGGTGTTCACGTTCATATTGCCATATTGACTAGCTCGCTGAACGTGTAAAAGAACTGCTGACGGACACGTCTGTTAGCAGTGATAGTAGCAGTAGTGGAAGCTACTGCATTTTTCAGTCAAATTTAACCGTGTACTGTGTGCTGTTATGAGTAAGACAGCTAAACAGCAGATGCTGTTCGATTTCTTCGTGCGAAACTGCTCCTGGTCATGTCCCAAGTTGCGTTGTTCTACGTCCATCCTCCAGTCCCTTATCTGTCTTTCCGTACAAAGTTTGTTGAGATATACTGCTCATGCGAAGCGCTGAACCTATTGAAAAGCATTTAGCGCTTCCGTCAGCCTTCTTTCCAAACCCTCTTTCTTCGAAGTATGCGCTGAGTGGCTGGTAACGAAACCCTCGGTTTGTTTCGCTTAGATTGACTGCCGCATGTCTCTAATGTTATCCACAATTACGGCTTTGCTCACACTTTTACAATATCACTATGAGTAGCGTCTTGTAGGATAAAGATCATGGAAATTGTGTGAAAATTAGATATTCGAAATTTGGCTATTATGGTTACGTTCCTTAGTGAATAAAAACGTGCATTATTATTAATACTAATATAGTACAAACGAGACAGAGTTTCGTGGTGTGCGCTCATAATGTCTTGGCCAATTGACCATTCACCCGTAACACAACTCTAGACCAAACGAGAGTCTATCCAATAACGTATATTGTTCTTTTTTCAGTGTGTATGTAACGATATACTCTTCGTAGAGCTTTTATTCCAAGCTGCTCTATCAAATGGTCATACGTCGGTCGGCTTTGCGTGCCACATTACTAGGTATAGGTACATCTGCTGCATAGATTTAGGCACAAGTCTTGCGCTTAATGGGTAACGTATTTGCTTGCTAACCTTAGCCATACATTGTAATCAGGGTTCGAACCGGGGCACAGAAACTTCGTTTCGTGCTAGGAGCCAGCCGTCCCAGCCGTATGATGCACCGGCGATACCGGCTGTAGAACTTGAAGCAGAGACACAAGAGACACAGACGAGCATAGTGGATGCGCCCGTTTCTAGCCACTAATAAAAGATACATTGTTTCCGCTGTTTGCCTTTTTCTCTAGAACTAAAGCTGCTCAGTCAACTAAGAGAAGTTTAAAATCCACTATAGATGGCTGCGTGCAATTTCAGCTGTGTGAGTGAGTGGGTGCCTGCGTACTGATTAATTAAATGCATTCAATCACTTATTTTTATGATCTTAGTGTTGGAATAGCTAATAGTGTAGTGGTGGCCAGTAAACGCTGATATTCTAAATAACGACGCATCATTATCATGCAGTACGCAGGCATCTTAAAAGATCATTATTATTTTAACTACACGCGTACGTCCTATTCGTACTACTTCACCATTCCAATGTTGCGGTGTTTTGGCGTCCTCTCAGAGGCAATCGTGGCTAAAATAATAACATTAATAGCCGAAGTAGGGAAAACTCGCAAGAAATAAAGCTACAGTGCAATGCACTGTCTATTGCGTGTCTGTGTGAGTGCGTGTTTACTCTTCCAAATCATGACCAATGCTTCTATGTTGCTGGTAGGAGCTTTCTGTTTGCGAAGACACCAGGGATCTCCATTGTTTTGCCTTCTCTGCGTGACAACTGCTGCGACTAGCAAGTGAGCAAGGACGTGGAATAAGAAGCAGAAGGCTAGAAAAAAAAAGAATAGTAGAGCAGGCGAGACATTTTTGCGTAAGATTTCCTGTTGCATCCGTGGCCCAGCCTTGTCTTCGGCCCGCCGTTACGTAGAATCTGTTGGTTAACTACGACGACGGGCTATGGGTGACGGTAGCAGTTATATCGATTCCGCTGTTATCGATGAGTAGTTTTATGTCGTAAACAAAACCTATCAAATTTTTCTTCTATGTATATAGACTTTAGATTTGTCATCAAGTGAGCAATCAACTCAAAGCGTCGCGACAGTTCGAAATGGATGTCTGTATGAAAATTGGCTGTTTTAGTTACGCGGTAGAGAAATCGACGGTAATGGTCACAGCCAGCGTGCGATGTTCATGCCTGTAATGGCACTAATAATTGTCTGTAAAAGGAAAACGTTGCCCGGAATAAATAATACGATTTTAAGTCCGTGTCGATGGTATCAAGTTGAAAGATAGTGGTTTTCGTAAAACAAAATACACATATGTTGTAGTACTTATCCAGCAAAAGGCATAATAATTGATGAGTAACTTGCGGTATAGACTGTTCGTATCTGCAAGCAGATGTACTCATTTGCTGTTTTTATGTCAACCCTCGTCAAAAATGTCGCTCAGGACGAAGAAAATCGCTTGTCCCAGTCAGTGCAACGAGTTTTCAAGTTCACTGGGAGCGTCGTTACGGGTCAAATGGTCATCCTGTATATATACTAAACAAATATATGTGCAACCCTAGAAAGAGAGGTCTTGTTGAAAAATATTGTTACATTTTATGATCGTTCTAAGAACGCCGGCCGATATATATTTCGATTAGGGATTTCCAACTGATATCTCCTCTTCCATACTTGTTTACTCCTTTGAATGAAGCAACCTGAGTTAATGATAAAGTTAACGGGTGGACGAAAAACACAAAAGGGGGACAAATCTTAGCATCCGCCAAGTCCTGGTTTTCGCGGAACGAGAGTCGGGGCATTATGAAATTACATCTATCTCTGGTCTGTGCTATTCAAACATGTGCACTGTGTACTAATAAGTTCGGCATAAATGTGCGTACTTAATGTAATTATTTGAAGTGATGACATCAAGGATTCTTCGCTGAGGCTATCAGAAACCGAAAAAAGACTTTGATGTCGTTAGGTTATTGTACTTTATTCATTAATATATTATCTGTGCATTAATCGACTGCACGTACATATAACTTCACGCACATATCCTAAAATAACTAATCAATTTGTTTGTCTATTGCTAGCTTTTGTTCTAAGATTTTGCCAATGAATCTTCATGCCATAGTATCGTTTCAATGTACCTCAGTGGAAACAGCCACCTACTTATTCACGTCCATGGTTTTATTTAAGAGCATGCTGTTTTTTGAATTACAACAGATACAAACGCCTATAAATTCTACCTACTGAATACACGAATTATTTACCTGCTTAATTATTTTGCTACTTATCTGAATGTTGTTGATCTTCTTGTTACGACAACTAGCTTGTCCATTTTATCTGTTGTTATCTTCACCTACCAGCTTCTAAATTGCATTAGTCTCCCGGATATCACCTTGTAATGCGAGAAACGAGGTCGTTTGCTTTTAATTACTCAGCACAACAAAATATGAGTTAAATATTGCTAGCTTTCGCATGCGATGATCCCACAGAAAGGGAGGGCTTACTGCCAGATCAACTGTCCCAGTAAATCAATCTTCATGGCGGCCTAGACCAACAAAATTCTTATTTTCAGTTTTCGCTGATTATTATATGTACCTTTATTATGGCCGTCGAACTAGCTCTGCTCTCTCGTGATTTTAGAAAGCGATGACGGGCAGGGGGAACGGGGTGCATGTTCAGGGTTGTACCAACAAAGAAGACCACGTGTAGATACGATGAGTATGCTATCCCGTACCGCAACGCAAGTAGTTCAGACTGTCTGTTCCATTACTGAGTAGCTGTTTACAGAGCACACATGTTACATTTTCATACGATCTATCTAAGGAGTGAGGATCTTTAGAGTTTAAAATATATTTAAGAAATAAAAAACACTACAGATGCAAAAAGCCTGGATGAACTAGCGGTTGGCAGATCGTGGTTGTTTAAAAAGAAATCTACCGCAGTAATTATTGTGACGAGACGGAAACCAGCTGGAACTAGATAATGTAGCAGAGGTCAATTAAGGATGCTAAATAGATTTACTTTTAACTGTTTGTAGAATGCTCAATGTCTGGGCATTGGTCACTGAGGTCCAATTTCGATCGACTGCGGAAAACGTTTGGCTGCAATCCTAGATAACTTCATACAGCTCTCTAGAAAACTATGCGTATGGCAGCTTGCAGATGCAGGGGGCACGTTACCTACGTGTTTTTATCAAGGCACAACCTTTGCAGAATGAAGCTCAAGGTAATTTACTGCCAATTGGCCAACCTCCATGATAAGGCCAACCTCCACATGGAATATCTAAACGGGATTTGGCAGCAACCAGTGCGAGACGTCTGCGTCGATATAACAAGTTCGGGAAGTAAAAACATGATAAGCCATTGGTAGGATGAGTGGAATGGGTGTTTTTTATAGTGTTTACTTCGAAGTATAACTTGCGTGCCGTTGATTGGCTAGCTCCAACTTTACTTCAAACGGAAAATATGCGAAAAGCGGAAATATAGAAAAGAAATATTCAAACAGATAACTTACTGTAAAAATTAAGTGATGTGAAATTTTGTTTGTTGCAATTTAAAGAACAATTCTGTTGCGGACAACCTTTCCAGAAACTCGTTACAGACGCGACAGGGCGGATGGAACCGAAAATAGGAAAATGGTGTATGCTATTCTTTGTACAACATATGTTGATTAATTTGGACCTTTGCGCAGAGGAGCCTAAGTTAATTTTCCAACGTATCATCTATATATTAGGCGAAACCCGAATTAAACGCATACCTACATATCGAATAAAATAAACAATAAGATGCAAATACGGCCTATCGGCATGATTATTAGTGGAAAGCGATTACTTAGATTTTTTTGCTTTTGCAGAACATCACAAGCTACTTATTACGCGCCTCCTTTCTTGTCTTTTTATTTGTAAATTATTTCTTGAGTTTGTTTTTTTTCTTTTTTTCAAGAAAAGCTATATTTGTTTTGAATAAAACTACTTAGTTCTACTGACTTGTGTATGATAACGTAATAACACTAGTATCTTGGTGGTAACTAGTTCCGAGTAGTTCCGCCATAACTTTTTGGCAAAATGTGTCAAGATGATATATAAATGATTTGTGTATGATATTTTTCTAGTTGGTAAGGGGTGATACTCAACTCCAATCATCAAACAAAGCTTGGAAAAGAAGGATGTTATCTATGAGACGAATAATGCTATCATCAACTAACAATGCCGGAGGGGTACATAAAGACGTGGCTACGAGGCCAAGCGTGTGCACTTTACGGCTTTTATAGCACGCATACAAAAAACTGAGAAATCGAAAACTTCAAGACATTACAAGGCTATAATCGGCCGGGGCCAAACACTTGACGCGTTCTTTTGTCTCGTGCAACGCTTGTATCTATTGTATCCCATAGATTGTTTTCAAGATAAAAACGATATTAATTAAGGGAACTATGTAATACTTGACTTTTGGCTACGTGGGATATATCACCATTATAATATTTCCGACATGGGTAGGTAAAACATGTTGCGATGCGATTAACGCGCCTGTGCTAATCGATCTCAAACTTGGCCCATAATTTCAATTTGAAAATTTCACGTTCGGTTATGTTTAGACGTTTCTATTATATGTTTGGAAGGAAAATATTACTTGCGATTTTTCGTTTCGTCTATGAAATCAAGCTAGCTGTAACGTTCGTCAGGATCAATTGTCTCTATTTTATATCGACTGCGAAAATCTCCATAAATTCGTTCCAAAAACAAGTACTCCACACAGTACCTTCTCCGAAGCCCTTCTTATTTGTTGTTGCACCATCGATAAATACTTGCTTGAGCAAACAAAAGTTCTGATATAATTAAGTTGCTTAGTAAGCTGTCAAAATGCCTCATTCGCTTATTTTACTTGATTTTTTTACAGGTATGTCCCTGAACCAGGTAATACAATCGTTGCAACGCCAATTTGAGGTAATTCATAACATCGAGCTCGGCTATTCGGACAAGCATCCACTAGCAGGAGATATCACCCTTGATTTACGCGAGGATGGTATTCGGCTCTTGTTCGAACCAACCACGCAACGGTTAAAGGTACTACTTCTTTAACTGTTTGCATAGAAAATTGACTACAAATTTCAAGATCTATATAGAAATATATTAGAAGGAAAAATAGGGTACTGTCCAAAAAACACGGTTTGACTCTTTTATTAATGAACTCGAACTCTGTACAAAATCAAACCCCTTTTATGGGCATCGTCAAATTCCTTGAACGACTAACTGTATCGCCACCTACAAGCCTTGTCCCTTCTAACGTTTAAGGGGTTGAGCTGAGGCGACTTGCTCCTTTTAAGAGCTAACTTTGGATACCATTCATATAGTTTAACACTAAGCTTGTCTTACGACGCACAGATATCGGACGTATGAGTCAATCATTGTGTGTTAAGTGATTCAGTATTTTCCAAATAGAATAGAAGTGTGTTAAAGAAATATAAAAAAAAAACTGTTCCATAAAATCGCATTTCGGCTCACACCTGTATATAATAATATACCTATATATAATAAGGAAAAGGGTTTTCCACGCAAATCTGTTAAGAACTTTCAGTTGTTATTAAATAAACTGAGCACATGAATTCAAGTCACTATCACTTTATCTCTTCACTTTCGCAAGGCCGTTTCTATAAAACGTGCACCAAAAAAAAAGGCCTGAAAATAGCGATTTTTTCTCACGTCGTTGGTCATAGTAGCATGAATGGAGGCTGACGCAGGTAGAGCTTCATGGTGGTGCAAAGCGCGATGCAGCACTTTATACGAGAATTAAGTGTTTGTAGCTTTATGACGCTACCTTCTAGTGTTCGCATTACATATCCCAGCTTAATTCGACGTGGCACACACGGACAGGCGCTTGATTTGGATATAATCGGATTAATACCTTTAAAGATAGAAAGAGCACATGTTGTACACGCAGTGAAGCGCTGGTATTGAAATATATGATCAAATAAAAAATAGACTCGCTGAGTGTCATCTCATCGTTCTATTTTATAATATGTTGGCGGTCGCTTCATGAATTAACGGTATGCTTATACCGCTAAAACAGATATATTTTATCGTTATTCTTAGAGGAACGATGAACTTGCCGCACACTCAGGTAAAAACCGTTTCAAGTGTAATTTCGCTTTATTTTGTTGACAAGATGTCTCGTCCAAAGTATATTCCAATAGATATATTTAGCTGATCAAAAGCGATTTGGGACATTACATCTATCATCTGCTAGAGGGCGCTTTCGTAAACACCATAGCGTATGTATTATATATGCATTAGAGTCACTATATGCCAATCAATATATCGAAAAACATGCCACCTCGGATGTGGCATGTTTTTTTTATTATCTCTATGATGTGTTACCAATTTTATTGCATCAGTTGATTCGGATGGCTAAATTTTGATGATTCATTTGGAGTGTCAGTCGATCTCTGTTCTGTTCGCATGTTTTCCAACTAAGTTATTTTCATGGGTTAACACTAAAATACCGTGGAACTCACTACGTTTCAGCTGATAGAGGTAACTGATTTGTCCCGCGTGGTACTTTCGTACAGCGGTACCGTGTTCTGTTCGAGGGAGGTTCTTCCCACGCGAGAGCAAATCGACGAAACTTTCGGAGCAACGCATCCTGGAGGTTAGTAGAGAAGTAAATATAAAATAAACAAATTTATGCGTATCTACCGCCCATTAAAATATTCAGGTATCGATAGCAAGCGTGGATTAAGGCCGATTCTCGGGAGCCGACTTGGGACAACACACTCGCCTATCTGTCCACAATTCGTAGGCCGAATTTGGGCGTTAAGGCGTTGCCTTTTTGCAAGCGCTTTTTAGTGAACGACTCTTGACCTGTTTTCGTTTCTTGGAAACAATCCTAGCACGAAAGAGTGTGCATCGTGTCCTATGTTAAGAACGTAATTACGTGCTCGAAAATGATGCTAGGTCTGTGGAGGACTTTTAGAGATAACATTTCAAGTGATTAATGAGAATACAAGTAGTACCAGTAGCTTCGCGTTGGACGAAAGAGACTTACAAAAATGTGAAAGAGTCAAAAGAACTCGTCTGTGAAGATTTCAGGTTACATTCATAAAGTCTGCAAAAGAGTTAGACATTGCACACGATCCAAGAGGGAAACCTCTGAAATGGCCCGGGCAATCTGTAAAAGCATTTAGTCTGAGACGATCGAGGTGTCCGAGAAAAAAACAAGAGCATGGTTAAAGTCTATAAAGTAGCTCGAAAACTATTTTAAATACTGCAAAAAAACATGGCATGCGTCTATTGACTATGGCAGGAGCTGCTGTGAAGATAACAGCCGGGATTTGGAACGATTAAAATGTGCGCAATTGGTACACTGCCAGATCATCGATAACATCGAAATAGTTTTAACAGGCAGAGAAACACTTGTCAGAAGATACACATATCTCATTCCGCTTATTGTTATTATTATCTAATTAATATAATTATTCATTTGCGTTGCTAAGTGAACTTAGGGGTGTACTTACTCAACTCCACTAGTATCTCAATTATTATTCAAGGTTCGTTTATTACTCTACAAAACTTCGATGTCATTCCTGCTACAGTAAATCAAGATATAAGGCCTCTTGCTTTCAAGCGTATCGTCATTACGAAATAGACAACAGGGCAGCCCGTAAGGGAAGCAAGTTATAAACATATAGGACTAGCCGTTTCTACACATTACTATATATTAATATATTTTTATTGTTATTTAAAATCATTTTACATTGTCCATCTCGTCGTGCAATCATTTGATAACGGTACGCTGGTACTTGTTAGCACCCCAATTAGTACACTATTTATTACCATGGAGAGTGTGTGTTCGACACTCGTTTGGAAAATATCCTCAAAGCAACTCTGTATTTGTAAATGTACGTCCGACAATTCAAAATGTGGATTAATCAGTTGCCATTGAACTCTAGACTACTGATAATGTACAATGCTGGATGCAATGAGCTTGGAGTTAAGAAAACAATACTTTACAGTACAATGCTTGATGGGTACATAATGTGTCACTTGTTATAGGGACTGGAACGCGAACCAGCTTTATGCTACAGACTGCGACGACTTAAGTCTGATTTTGTAAATGAGCTGTTCTTCGGCTTTCATTTCCTCGGTTGTCTCTGCGATTTGTCTTTAGCCGATGCCTGCACAGTTCGCTACCTCTGTGAACCTTCTACATGCTGTTCAAACTCATAGCTTTAAAAACGTTCCAGCTTCATATGTGTATATACGGTTTCGCACCGGAATTCGTGCTATGCTCACAAATGAAGCGGTCCTTTAGTACGTGAGTCCGATGTCTGAGCCGGATAGTGGATTTGTATGTTGTTGCTAGTTTGATAAGAACCGGATTTAGATATTTTTGCGCTGTTCAGTAGATGGACATACGGTAAAGTGGATTCCATCTCCTTTTGGTGGTGAGTGCACGAACGGCCAGATCCATACGAGTAACCAGCGGTCGCCGAACACTTCTTTGATATTTTCGACCAATGAAGGGTTTGTAAATTTCTTGACGTCGCGACGTCGCTCGTACATGGTTTGGTTGTTTATGATACACATCGCCTGTCAGAAGAAAGAGTAGTTGTACACGTTGCATAGGAGACATGGGCATGAGCCCATATAAGGAACTGGCAAACCTAAGAAGACTTGTACTAAACACAAGAGGTCCATGTCCTAGAGGCCTAGCACGAACCTGACTATAAAGCAGTGTAGCGCAGAATGCAGCAACGAAAAATTCGAAGAGGTTTAGACTAGCTGCGAGGAAACCGTATCCATCAAAGGCGCCGAACAGCCATCCGAGGTGAGGCGCTAGCTGGGACAGCAGCAAATGCCATCGATAGCCCCCGAGCTGCGTTTCAATCGTCCAGCTGAGATGAAAACCGAGAGAGTATAATGCCCCTAGCATGACGTACGCGACCCCTATGACAAAGTACCTGTCGGTGTAATTTGAACAATGTACGAGTATTTGTAGAGAACTGTATCGGTTTTGAAATCTAGTCACTTTACGTTACTCTTGCTGCATAGGTATTACCTTTGATTAACAAAGCCAACGCACTTCCCAGCAAACATACAGTGGTGGTCCTGCTTGAGGATGCACTCGTCACATACTCTGGAACAGACATGCGGATAGTTATACGTCCGATCGTGTTTACATTGTGCTATTTTACAGCAAAATTTTTTTTATTTAACGTTGTAGCCTACAGATAAATTAGTAGCATTATTGCATCCTGCCTAAAAGGTTTATGTAAAAACCATTTTTAGGCGCCAAGCTCTTTGTTCAAAATTATGTTGTGAAGACTTATTCTAAAGGTGTTTCAGATTCTGTGACCACTAACTCAACTGCACAAGCGTACGAAATAATCAGTCATTTAGTTTTGTTAATGAGTATTGCCTGACAGTACCTGCAATGGTAACTCCGTGGAGGCACGTTGAGTTGGCAATCATGGCAGTAAAACCACTCTGGCAAGAGAACATTGGGTAGCGTTGAGGGTGGTAGATCGCGAGCAGCCGGACGGGAACGCAGCAGATAAATCATATTACTTCCGACGTTGAGCAATATAAATAGGGCACAAGGCACATGGACAATCGGGCTCATCTTGCACTCTGACAGCACGCGAGGAAGTACGTAAAACACATCGAACAGAAAAACACCGGGTACTGCAATCGACATCAAAATAAACAAACTGCAAAGAGGCAAATAATATAGCTTACAATTTTATTTATTTTTGTTCTTTTTAGTAAGATATATTTGTGTTGATCTCATGGATAGTCCTGACTGCTGCTGATTTTGTATATTGGATGCAGTATATAGATATGCATACATACATATACATATATATCAGAAAACTTTTTTCCAATAGTCTTCTATTACGTATTAAGAATTTTACTTTTGAGGTATTTCATCTATTTTATTTATGAAATATGTTTTCATTCAGCACTCAGATACTGCGCCAGCAATCCTAACCTGCGATCGCGTTTTCCTTTGGGGAGCAGATCTTTTCGCGATAGCGGTAGACTAAGCGGCGCGTCTAGAGCATTCATGCTTTCCTAGCGGCTGATATTCACGACACTGTAAATCTCGATAAAAGAATATTACGTCATATTCCATTGTTAAAGACGAGCTTGTTCTTGAAAAGATGACTGTATGTATGGATCAACTTTTATAAGATATGTAACTTCAACTAAAAAATCACTTACTATTTTGAAGGTTATGGTTTCGAATTGTTGTACGAGTGACTAGTTTCTGTTGTGTCATTATCTTGCCTAAACGCAATATCGATCTCTCGACATATGACTAATCAATAAGAGGGGACCGACATTTTTAAGGGGAGGCAAACGTTACTATTTCCATTAGCAGCTGCGTGACAACAAGTACGATGACAGCATCAATGCTGATCATAGCAGGTCGTTGTTGATTATAAGCGAATTAGCATGTTTATATACCTAAGTATACGACACACCGTTAACTATAGCAGTGATTAATCAGTCCTAAAGACATGAGTACTGACTTAAAAAAAAAGGACTGAACCTTGGAGGCGCAAAACATGCCAACTTTGGGGACTGGGTCAGCGGACAATGTTTTACTCTCAGGAGAGTCACAAAGAATAATCGAAAAAGATCGCGATTGCATACACTAAAACAAACCTGACACATTCGCTGAGGGGCAGTTGCGATCCGATAGATTAATTGCCCTCAACAAAGCGACTAACTGTTGCTGCTGTACTTCCTGGATCTGTCACCGCTGGCAAAGTGCTACGAGTTACTTGGCCGTCTCTAATTTTCTGTCGCAACAAACGAAGGTGAGGCGGTTCCTTCTACCGAAATAAGAGACCACCCTCTTCGTTCTCAAGTAAAACACCGATACTAACTGTAAAAATAATCTGGCAGCAAATCTTATAGTCTGGGCGGTGAATAGGTAGTTACAGATGGGACAGGTGTTTATCGACCATAGAACATTTTGTTACTTCACTGCTGATAAGCATGGGCCTGCGATGTGCGACAAAATTGCGAGTCCGATTTGTGCTTAGCTATCAGTGTCTTCCTATCAGTAAACGCATTGTCGTCTTCACCCGCTGTCTCCGTCTTGGTCAGGCCGTAAGCAACTACTCAAAAGCGTCGCGTCGTGATAGCGGCGCGCTGCTCGATGCTGCCGCTATGTTTGAATTACCTGTTCGCTTGCTGTCGGTAAGTGGAAACGAGGACATTGTTGTATGTGAGTTAGAAGAGTATCGGAGAAGTGACAGATTTTACGATGTGGTACATGTAGATATTCACTTTCATTAGGTTATACAGTAAAATGGACAAGTTAGATTTTACGATAGAAGTTTATTTGTCTTGCAATATTGACTTTGTCGTAACTGTACCACAAAACAATTTCATGCCACCACTTGCGTTTTCGAACCTTCTGTTAGACGACCGTGGCATAACCTAAACGCCTCAAAGTAAACAGGATCCTGCATAAATGCAAACTTCGTTCTTCCATCCACGCACAGATGTGTTAGAAACCTGTTGAATAAACTTTTATTAATAGAAATTACAAACTACTCTTTCCTGGTGAAGATGGATCGTAGATCTCGGAGCAGTCTGAACCATGATGCTCTTGTTTGTATGCCAACGGAATATATGTGAACTTCGTTCACATCGAGGTCGTATAAAAATATAACGTTAGGCGAACGCAATGAGCATGTACATGGGCGCACCTATGCAATGTTGACATCGTCACGTCCTAGCTATTGTCTAGTAGTTTTCTAGAATCGAATTTTTTCCATTTAAGGCGTATTCCATTGTCGCCATAACCAAATGCACTAGAAGAAGCGCTGTTGGACACACTCAGAACTAGTACCAGCTGAAGTCGCTGATTCAGGTTGCTGCTAAGTCTATCTGTTTAAACGGTGCGGGTATGGTTGGATCGATATGGCTGCGACAACAGAGTCAGCTGACGGGTTATAGTTGGACTGACAATGCGGGGCGAGAGAGGCCCTAAGAGAGTGGCGGTCGATGCTTCAAGCTGAAGGCAGAAGGGTGGGAGACCTACATAGACTTCTAGGTCACGAGAGGCGGTCAAACCCAAACTTCAGATTTTTTGGAAAGCGAATTTTCAAATAGATTTTTTTAGAAAGTAGGGAAATTTATTTCGATCCTAGTTTATTTTTAATATTATAATAACAGTTGATGAATGATTGTTTGCACGTACAAATTAAATACCCGTAAATATCAACTAACCCGTAAACTTACCAATAGAAATGAAGGTACTATAGGGAGGACACGTATGTTATTTTCAATACGTCGCCTGTACGTAGCTAAGCGTCCAACCTCAATGGGTAAAAACACATAAAAAATAATAACCGAGTAAAACTGCGGTTATTTTATTAATTTAAGATTAGCGTAAGTCAATCTTTTATTATAATATTTTTTCTAATAATTTTCTTAATAATTATTAAGAAACTCATTAACTTTCTTAATTAATAAGCGTTTTTAGCAATTTCAATTCCTGACTAACTAGAACCCTAGCTGAAAAAAGCTGGGTTGCGCAGAGTTATGGCGTTACAAAACAACATAGACGTATGAAAAGCCTGCATTTAGTTTCAGGTGCTCTTAAATGATCAAAATAATCAGCAGTCAATGCTGATTTTTGACTTAATTCGTTTTTTACTGAAGTCCCTAAAATCGACAGAACCGATCTCTTTACGTGCCCTATGTAATAAACATATATTTTAGTACGGTAAGCAGCGACTGATTTTGCCAGCTCAAGGATCCTGACAAGTACTATTTTATCTACTTATGTTTTAGAGTTTGATGCGGATGCTTCGCTATTCCATTTAAAGTTTCGAGGATTATGCTTTTCGTTCGCTACTCAAAAATCAGATAAGGCTGACAGACTCAGCCCCAAAGGATGTAAGACCAATGCAGGAATCACCATTAAAAGTTCTCCCTGCGCTCTCGACGGAAAGGGTCCCTTCAGTAACGTTGTGTCACGGATGGCCATTTATAGCGGCACCTCGCACAAGGACACTCAGTAAGTGTTTGTCAACTTGCCGAACTTCACGGTTATCGAGAACTAGCTTTTAACTAAGATAAGCATCACATTTCTGTAATCATTATTTTAATCTATATCTGCTTGCCGCTTTTCTACGTAGCATATATTACTCTTATTTTTTTTGTTGCAATGATTTTTCGAACGGCTGTTTTTGCCGTCTTGAGCGTGCTTTCATTTCAAACAGTCTCCTGACAGTTATATTCTACCATACGACTTACAGGCCTCCAGCCCTGCCCTTGAACTCATTCGGTACGTCAATATTCCTTGAGCAACTGAACGTCATTCGGGACACGGGAGAACCTGATGGAGGACGTACGCGCGGAGTGGAGCTGGACATTGTCTTGCGAGCTTCAGTAGATCGCACAAATATGCCCACCAAAAAGACGCTCAAAAGGTGCGCTTGTTAATGTAAATATGACGTTGGGCAAAATAATATGTGAATCATAATGGTACTTGACGAAAAACGACGGCACAGTTATCTAGCCAGATTGATGAATGCGATGACAGGCCTAAACGAAATCGGTAACTAGGCAGTGTCACCATTTTTAAATAAGTTTACCATGGACATTTGGTGCATCCAGCGAACATTTCTATACTAAAACTGGAGAGAACTATATAAGTTATATAGGTGAAACTGGCTGAATCTAGATTGAAGTTCGACACAGTTTTTGTAACAAAACTCCCGATAAGTTGAGTCAGCTGTGAAGTTTCATAATCAACATATTCTATGCCGTTATTTTCCGCGTTCTCCATTGTGTTTAGCACTTGATAATGTTGCACTAATGTTTCTATGGACCGTTATAGGACAATCCTTTTCGGAGACAGTGTGAGTGACGTCGTGTCAGCCGTTGGAAGTCCATCGAAAGTTTTCTTCAAGGTATATTATTTATGCCAAGAAAGAAGATACAACATTACATAGGCATGTTCAAAAGCTGAGCTAGTGATACATGAGTCAAGCTTGACAGAGGAAAACACACATATTAGAATCAGACGGAGTCATTAACATGGAACGCAACAAGCGGGGCTCTTATAGAATCGATTAACAATTGTTCATAGCGCAGAACTGGTTCATAGTTCTGTATCATATCCATTTGGTTTCTTTTGCTGCAGGAGGAGGACAAGATGCGAATTCACTCGCCCAGCACTGACGATTCCGTAGACATAACTAGCGTCGAGAGGTCCGACTATTTTTACAACTATGTCACTTTGGGCCTGGTGCGTATCGCGACATCGATCAACCTCAGCAGCTTCTAGTTTATTCATTCGTCTGACATGGTCCATTTTAAATCGGTTTGTCGCTGTAGAGGTATTTGGCTAGTTCTTGTTTCTGATACGTGTGTAGATTATCTGGTGTAGGTTGCGTTGGAGTTGTTGATACCTTGACAGCAAATGTCTTTTTGTCATTTAATTGGCAAGAAAAATAGCATGGATATCAAGAGGATTAAGGGCAAGTTGCAATCGTAAGCATTTTTGACCTTGGTCTAGCTGCGTTAAGGCGTACTCGCCTTGCGAACGGAGGTGCACTCACTTCGAGCCCTTAGAAATACTCCGTTGAAAAACTAATTGTAACCCATTCATTGATAAAAACAAAATGTCATATGAAGTATGCTTCTAAAGTGCTGGACTTTCGCCTATCGTTGCAAATGCAAAAAAAAACTAACGTGGAATTTCTATACGATTTTATAGGACGTTTTATTTGATGCCCGACGACATACTGCAAAGAAGATTATATTGCACACAAATTTTCCAGGCCACTACGACTTTAACTGCTATCATCGATGCAATTTCACCATGGTGCTCCCGTCCATACAGGGAGAGCCGGACGTCGTGGTCAACACATTTTCTAGGGTACTTAGTTTATTTAGAAGACCTTTTCGCCTAACTTATATTTCCCGCTATTCCTCCAAAGACCAAGTATATAGATACGTGTGGGGTACTTGACGTGAAAATTAATGCTTCATACAGCATTAGTAACCATAGGGCTCTAAAAACTTACGCTCCGTAATAGTTAATTCTCATCATATTTCTCCAAAGAAAATTCTGAATCAGTGAGTAGATACTTCGGATGTGTTCGGAGTCTGAGGGAGTAGTTTGGCATCCAAAGTACATTGCAACTATACTAAGTAAGAAAAAGCCACTGAGTTATATGATATTGTCTCGAATTTTCGCCTGACACGGTATCTCTTAGCGGGTTGGAACGTCAGTATATTCTAAAATGACATCAGTTATTTACACCGTAAATGTAAACCAGAAAGAATTGATAGCAATGATCTGCGAATGGAAACCCTACTGGGTGTCTAGCTGAATCACATACGCGTCAGTTCTCATAAGATCCGTTATACGCTTGCAGTGGGATGACATTTCGGAGCGCCTAGTGACAAGGGAGGAAAAACCGGTGCTCCTCAACCGTGGCGGGTCCACACCCAATACCATTAATCCGTTTGGTTCGACACATTGTTACGGATGTTGTGTCGACACCATTGTCGAGGTCATCACGGACAACAATCATATCGCATCAGTGACCCTTTTTGACTCTACGCTACCATCGTAGTACCACCCAGTTCCGTCGCCGCGAAATTAATCTTCTGTCAGCAAGGAATCCCTATTAACAAGAGCTGCTGAACGGAGCCCATAAGGTTTAATCTTCACGTATCTCGGCCGTATCAAGGGGGATTGGCAAGGCTATATGTTTGTATCGCTGAAGAGATTCGACAATCGTATGAGAGTTTTCGACCCTCACAGCAAGCAATGAGATGTTAAAATAGATGGATAGGCTTCGCATTTTGCAAGTAACTCGCTAGCTGCCAGCTGCTCTCACCGAGGTCAACCTGTTGTGTACAACCTGGTCCCTGTTAACTTTGACGGAATTGATTGCGCACACGGCAGGAACTCATATAAGACCTCATACATGACCGATTTGCGGTAACAGATTGAAGGTAATGGAATAATGAGCACGCGATGCGCCAGTTAATATTAACACTTATAGAGGTGTCTTTAGTTAAGGGTTAAAAACCTAGACATCGGAAAGGGAAGGAGAACTACTACTTTTTTTTTTAAATTGTAATGAATATAGACGTTACAATGATGAAACAGCCGTTGAAGTTGAATAAATGAAGGTCAAAGTTAGTCAGCGTAAAGACGATGGTATATTGGTGGAACATCTAAATAAAACTATATATATTTTGGCATATTGTTCTCGCTGAGTATCTATATAACAAAAGTAATAATAATGAACATTCTGAGTTTAAACTGTTTCAGATTGCTGCTCTTATATCTTAGCGATACAATCGGCGTACATACGAGAGAATGTGTTTGCGAGAAAAAATTGAATTACTTTTAAATCGTCGATGAAAGGCATGAAAATTGGACAGGGTTAAAATCTGCGAATAAAAATAATTAGTAGTTGGAACGTAAATGCCGCTAGTGATCTGATTAGTGTTGTTTGCAACAGAGCGTACATAGTTTTTTGCTCAGAACTCTGCCGATGTAGAGTCGCCACTTGAAACTTGGTTTGACACACCGTTATGTTTATTACGTTTAATAATCAGAGCTTCTCGGAAAATTGTGAATTAGTGCGGCATGCTCAATCTGTCTCGAGGATCAGTTTGGCATTTTAGAGTGGCAGTAGATCTCTTTGTAGGGAATCTTCAAATCATATGGTCATACGCAAAAAGAATAGGAAAAGAAAAGGACCCAAACTAATAAAAAAAGATACCCTTGATTATCGTTATTGATAGCACTATAGTTCATTAATGAGAATCCGTCACCTTCATCTATGCATCTGCTTATGGATAATATTTTTTTTTTTTTGTAAATCAATCAAATTAAAGGTTGGCGTAAGCAACTAATAGTTATAGGTATTGAACTGAAAGGAATTTCAGCGAATTCGAAGCAGAGGAGCGAGCCCTGCCAGGTTTATTTGAATGTTAGCAAAAACGAAAAGTGAGGGCAAAAAGGGGTCTCCAGAGCTTTCAGCTCGTGTTAAAACTACCCGTATGTGTGATTATCAAATTGGTAGTCCTGTCCTTTTACTCGATCCCCAGTATAATGTTAGCAACCAGCTTGGAGAGCTACGCAAATCTGAACAGAAGTACGGTGAATCTGGTAACGGCTAATAATAAAAAGAGAGATCAAATACGAAGAGAAAATCATGTTGAGCCCCCCATAACCGTCATCATTGATGTAAATGAGCTGAAAGGAAAGTAATTAAACAACACCCCCTTCCCCTCCTAGGTACGTCCTCAAATGGTGGCGTCATCAAGAACAGTGTGGATACGAATAAGGCAGTACGTAAAACAGCTGAGTGGTTCAAATGCTCTTTAACGACGCAAACGAACTACTAGGCCTGAGTGAAGGAGGCAGAGAAGGGTCTGCTGTGCATTTAGGTGACGACGATAATTATAATTATAGTTATTAAATTAATATTATCGACCTTGAGGCCGTCGAACTTGTTTTGTATGACAAATACCGCAGCTGCTTGAATGATACAATGTTGATATAGATGACAACATGGCGGTAAGACGAGATGGATGCGAAATAGAAATGGAAACTAAAACAACAATGTAAAAATAGAGATTGTACGAAACATCAGACGATGGCGTAAATGTGTGAAAATGGCCAAGTGTCGGAGCGAAAGGTTAGTCTGAATTTAAGCTCGGATGGGAGCAAGCATTTGAGTATGAGTTACATTTGATTGAGTATGCCTAAAGGTTAATTGCGCCTATGGAGTAAGGTTAACACCAAAACGTACTAGGAAAACAATGGCGTTCGTGAATTGTCTGCTGCAGAGATAACGTTATGATGATATGTGGGAAAGAAAAAAATGTGAAAATAGCCGTTTTATTATAAATACAAAAATAATTATAGCAAAAATTACTATCGTCATGATAAGTGCTGTGTGTTTGGCCATCTGTATCAAATCTTATGTGAACTATCTCCACGCTTTATAATGATTGTATATTATATTTCCAATGAAAAGGATGAAGAAAAAAAGACAAAAACACAATAAATTATATATTGCACATCCTGTTGTTGCTAATACTAACTTTACACACACACACACACACACACGCACACACACACACACATATAATTAAGAATATGTCAATAAAGAATTTTCTTATTAATTATCATTTTTAAGTTAGCCTAAATATTCATAAGGGAAATATGCATGCCTGAATGTTCGACATGCAGGCATCTTTTTGCCGTTAAAAACCAAACATCGAGATAAAATAGCTACAGCAGCAAAAACAAAAATATAAAAAACCGAAGTGGGAAAACTTAAGAAATAAATTCAACTTTGGAATCATCAATGGATACGGAAATTGATTTAGGCTGGAGATGTGGTCAAATTTATGGTGTATACATAAGTTTATTAAGTTTGTATCAGGGTATATACGCTTAGATTTGTGTTACTGAACACCTACATGGATAGACAACCTCTACGCAACTCAATAATGCAAAAATGACAGACCAAGAAACAGTTTTTTAAACAAAAAGCAAGTTTTTTTTGTTTGTCGTTGTCACAGCTTAGTTTCTTACATGAAAAATGCCAGCAAATTTTAGCATTAGAAATATGATGATAGTGCTAACGCTTGAAATCGGTTTCGTTGAGCGATATTAGTATTGTATCTGGATAAGAATTATATGGACAAAGAAATTTCTAATTAGTGAATGGTCTTAAGGGGTTACTCGTTTTTTATCGATAGTGCAGTAGAGTTTTTCCTCAAAAGGCAAAAACTTTGTTTCTTAGAATGGATATATCCGTGTGCTTATATCGGTTAAGCAGCGTAACCTAACGGTTATTTAATCTGAATTTTTCATAGAAACCGCAAACTTTCCAACGATTTGTAAAAAAAATAAAAAAATTGTTTAGTGTAAGTACAATCTGACCTAACGTAATTTTGCTGGTGCGACATATCTTAATAAGATTTCCACTATGGCATCGACGAGAAACTATAGCTAGATATTGTTTCGGGAACTTTCAATGTCGAAGTAGATATCAAATAGTTCAGTGATCGTAAAGGGCAAAACTAGTGAGAGTTCGCCTGAGTTCGAAAATCACCAATTGTCTGAGTAATCTCAGCGTTCGGTATAGTTATGAGTTATAAATTTGCGTCACTAGCCAGCGTCGATAACCGATCTGAGTTAAAAGAAGAGAAGACAGAGCCCGCTAATACTCGTTGCTGATAACGAAGGATCTTTACCGTTTTCATTCATCGTATACATCATACGTCCACTGGACTGGGGTGGCACACAGAAAAAATCCTCTGGTAGGAGCCCGGGCTCCATCTTTCATGGGGAAATGTTTCACGTGCACTATTTTTGGTAGCTATAAATTGACGGGGTAGAACTGAACAGAGAACAGCTGTAAGACAACCAAAAAAACTTTCTGTCAGGAGACTGGCCAATAAGCAAATGCGAAACCCGAATTATTAGCTGTTCTACATTGGCCGCCCTTTAAAATTCATATGTTTTATTGCGATTATTGTAACATATGCAATTTGTATTACTTTCCTTATGTGGAATACGCGGCTTAGTTCTCAAGCAGGAGAACATTATAGACCTCCATCGGGAGCTTTTGTAAAAAGTCAGTTACTTTCGAACCGGATCAAACGCACACATATGAGCCAAACGATAATTATAGACTTCTTAAAAGTTCACGGAAATGATAGAGGACATAATCTGGCGTAGAGATCGATTATTACTGAGATGTTCAAGAAACGTATTGATATTGCAATATCTGTGAATCTTTGGTCTCTCGCATACCCCGTAAAAAGTGCCTCTGTAGTCTGCGCGGTCTACGTATGTCCGTATGAAGTAGGCAACACGCAGAATTGGCTAGCGATCTGTGAGTGATATGACAACATTTCATTGTTACGCGTAACGTAATATCAGACTTAAACGCCAAAGGAACTAAACGACATCTGTGGAGTATGTGAACAAGACGTTAAAAGTAAAAATTGAGACGCTGTTGAGATTCTACTAAATTTATTAAGAACCTAATGGTAGCCATTCCTGGCTAAAGACTAGCTGTTCTAACAGCCTACATTTGGGTTATTCTATTTATTAATTTGTTAACGATTATTTAGTGTACAATTTTTTTTTACTAGTGAAAAATTCTTCCACTTTCTGTACTGTAAAAATATTTCCAACGTAGCACTTTAGTCATACATAGCACAATACTTCTTGTGACATTGATTGTTGGGCAAGGATGTGTTTATGTAAATGTTTTCGAAATTATGCAGCAGTTGAAACGGTAGCTGAATCCATTTAGCCTTTTCTTGCGATGCAAATGTGTAAATACGTCTATAAGAGTCTTACATACTTAGCTAGACCTTAGAAGCTTGAACGCGGAGATGTACGACAGTTCATGGCAATAATATAGACGTCATGAAAAGAAACGCAATAGACGAAGCAATGAACGTCGTGACACTGTAATAATATTAATAGTGTGTAGTATCTATTCCCGTGAAATTTAGAGATTCGTTTAGTATAGGATAGGCGTAGCACTTCAGATTTATCTGAAGGAAGTAGAAGAACGTTTAGCGGACCCGCCCTAATTCAAGTATAGTGACCCTTTACAATGGCCGCGTTGCCAGCTTTTGTTACGGACTACGAAACGGGGCAGCCAAACATGGACCTTTGTCCACAATGAATACAGACAGCAGTGTATATATATATTGATGTGCGTATGTGCGCCAACGGTCGCGCGTGCTCATATAAAATTTACCATCATCAAATAACCATTATGTTGCGGATTGAAAGGCAGAAACTCACTGAGGAGAACAACGCCCTAAACAACAACGAAGGCCTATTCTCCACTGAAAAATACAGATCCGTCAGATGCGGCCAGAAAATATCCGCTAGCGATTATGACAATTGATGAGTTTACAAGTAAGAGATGTAAACTGAGAAAAATTGTAATTAAGAAAATCGATCGAACGGCCCCCAGTCACGACAATACACCCCACTTAGCCATTTGACCAATGGGTCACTACTACCATAAACAACCGCACTGTCAAGCTGATAAAAAGGAAACACACTAATAGACGTATGTACTGTTGTTGTAAATGCTACCGCTTTTTAGGACGCTGTCGAAATACTGGTCACTGTACCCGATAGTGATACGGGAGGCTGAGAGATGCGTTATACGAAATACGTTAACAACATCACCTTTAAATATAAACTAATGTCTGTTTAACAGTTTCTTCCGTAATCGGACGGATGTTCGGAGAGTGACGCAACACTTACTAGAATCTCGATTGAAGAACCTTAGAAACGCGCTTCGGCTCAATGTCCATGTATTGTATAAACAATATATATCTACACATACGCGTAGTCATGTTATCTATTTTAATACTATCCCTCGTTCGCGAAACCAATAGTTGTGACGTAAAAGCCGCAGAATCGGATTCTAGCTATTATACCCCATTGGAAATTTCTAAATCAACAGGATTTCAATGGCGAACGTTCAGATCCCTGGATCGATTGTTGACAGATGCGTAACGTTTGTATAATACGGAGAGTCATCTTATTATTGCCAGTTCGGCTGGGAAAGTTATTAAAAAACGCGATGAGTTACTAATTGAGCGAGATATTACCTTGTTTGGAAAGGTTGCATTATTCTCTGAGCGTCATCCAGCCTACATAGAGCTATATTATGGTACTCATCTACGGCACTCTTGCAAAATGCGAAGCGAAGCAATAGCTTCTCTTTCTATTCTCCGATACTCTGATATGATTCAAGCTGATTTAATCCTGATCTGGCCCGGCTCTAATACGTAATAGAAGTAGACTATTCGTAGCTCGTAATCGTGAAGGGCTTAGGGGCTGCCCGAAGGGTCGTCTTCAAGAAACCACTATTCATCTTTTAAGCGACCACACCTTCCGCCTTTTTGTAAGAACTGTTTGACAGTGAATATACAACCATTTAAATTTGTCTGTCTAAGTACCTGCTTTCTCGTGCCGACTTAATCCAATAAAGCATCGATAGAAAGAAGTTTTATAAGTTAAAAAAGTGTTATATAACCCGCTAATCATCCAAAGTGAACCCGACTGGATAGTGCTTTATAACTGGACGGCGTCAATACAAAATATAAGCACGAAAAAAAAACTGATACTGAACAAAATAACACAGAATGAATTAATCGCAGATGCCCGCCAGCGAATGGTTCATTTATCATGCAAAAAAAAATAAGCAATAGAATACCTGTGTCATACTACACGAGAGTAAATACATTTATATGAATACAGACTCAGATAAATTATATCATTAAGAATAATATGAACTCATTATCTTGCAATTTTATTGTTATTACTATTAACGATAAGCTGATAATGTGATCGAATTGTAACATAGGGATATACACGAAAATTAAATCGAAGGACTAATGGAGAACGGACAGATAAAAACAATTATAATATGAAATAGAAAAATAAAAAACGACATTCTCAAATTAATAAAAAATGGCTAACCAAGAAACACTGTTGAAACATTGTTCTTCTAAAATCCACGCTCGAAGGAATATTTTGCGTTCGCAGTGGTACAACGGGAAGTTGTTTACCTACTAGAATTGAATGCATATGAGGCAGTCTAAATTTGAAATTTCGCGCCGGAGGGTGCGGGCAGCTATCAAATGTAGAGTTTACGGCGGTAACGAACGTAGAGTTTGTTACTGGTTCTCTCAGACTGTAGGCCAGAGTGCGGTTAGTTACCAACAGGCTAACGTGGATCTTTAATTATGTTTTCGGCCCTTTGCCCTTGGAAGTGTTGTGGAAAACAACTAACAAAGCAAAGTTTGGTTAACTTATCGCTGGCAGTTATCGCTTAGAATTGTATGACGTTCCAGGTAAGCAAACAGTAAGTTGCATATCTAAATCTATCAGAAGATATATCTAATTATTAGTAGCACTCTATTCGAAGGAAGTTTTCATACTTTTCAAGAAAAGAGCGTTTCTAGTAATTGCTATCGAGTGCCTCCAGTCCCAATGTTTTCCGATAATTTCCGTAAGCTATGGTCGTTTATTTCCTTTAAGCTGCCCAGAAATCGACTAAATTGATTATAAGTAAGCTGTAGTGAATGCAAACACTGCTCGGAGTTAACTAAGCGATTCCGATGCATTCGGTATGTTGGAAACCAGTTCCTCCCGTCAGGAGCTTAGCATTTAATCGAGACAATGTTTATCTATTAACAGATAAAATCTAGAAACGGGTCACTTCAGCCTCTTCTGCCTCGTTTTAAAATAAAAAACTTTTGCTCCAGAGAAGTCTTAACAAGTATTACTTTTCATTTGAATTTTCGAGTAGACCATGGCTTCAAAAGAACTGTTCAGCGATTGTAGATATAATAATTAGCTAAAGTTTTCTCATTTAATTGACAGAGCTTTCTTTGCACAAAATTATTCAACTAGTCTCAGATGGTTTCCTTTGAAGCTTAGGTTCAAAACGTCATATGGCCGAACAGGCGGCCGCGCTTCCGTCACACTGTACATTCTTTTCGATTTTATAATCATCATTAAAAAACACAGTTCGACTTTTAATCAGATCAATGCAAAGCTTAAATAGCAACAATATATATATATATATATATATTAACGATTTTGCGATCGTTTTACCACCGACAGCGCCGCTCTCTGGACAACAGGACAGATAGTTACAGATCTATGTGTTCCATCACTATTTTGTCGTCACAATATATTTAAGGAACATTTATTTATTGTCACGTATTTATTTATTGACAATTTTTCTCTTACTAATATAATACAAACTCTGAGAATATATGTAAAATATTGTATGATTTTATTATATAATATTGCTGTATTTTAGCACTGTGAACCAAATCTACCAGGTAGTACACCATCTCGCTCTCCTATTCAGCAGCGGTATTTGTATTTTTGGTGGTGCAATGCCTGGGAGGGTGGCGCTGTTGTCTCGATGTCTGGGAAACGGAACTGAAATTTCGGTTTGTAAGATTAAATTCTCTTTTGCAGAACCCAAAAGAAGGATTCATTTTTCGTACACATTGCGCCTGCAGATATGTCGGCGATCTTTTAGGGACACTGCTGTTGACAATTTAAAATCCGAAGCCTTTTTTCAACGGTCGAAAGCCATATAGGTTCCTAAGGATAAGAGGTTGATCAATATTAAGATATGGATCAACCAATGGTCAGCATCTTTCTTACAAACCACATTGTATCTCTTTTGTGCCTGAATGTTATCGGAATATTTCTTCTATGCATTTGGACATCATATGACCTTAATTCGCCACTGCCGCACTCATTCATTGCTATTTCTTTGGACCAATCGATTCAGATATCCTATAAATCTAGAATTTAAAGAATTTTATTCTACACTCAGCATGCAGGGTATGTTGGAAAAGCCAAGAGAAATGCGCAATTAGTTGGCCGCCGTCTCGATCGTGTCGGAAAATCAGCCCCCAATTATCTCTTGGGTGTAAGCCAAAAATAAGAATAGTAGTCAATTAAAAGCGGGAGGGGAACAAACGAAACGAGGCATTGCTTTCGAGCTAGTGAGAGAGAAGGAGACGCGGGAAGAATCGAAAATGCCGATGCCGTCCCTCCCCTACTCGTCCCCGCGCAAATCTGCTGCGTTCGTCCCTTTTCCTTCCTCTCATTCGAAATCCACTCTAGCAAAAAACATGGAAAGAGGTCTTCCCTGCCAAGGAGAAGACATGTTTCCCATTCAATTTCTTTAGAATCGGTTTCGATCAGGATGTGGGAAAGAGATCGAGTTGCACTGAAAGGAGACGAAGCTAGCTACGTTCGGTTTTCCTGAAAGTCCCTAAAGTAGGGCGTGAGTAGAACCTTTAGGGGAGCTAAGGAACATAGCAAAGACGCAACGACCGGTTCAGGACAGTAGCCGAGGGACGGGCTCGAAGGTACGATATTGTTGTCGTTGTTATAGTGTGTATTCTTCCTGCCTGTCGATCCTCGTTGATCTTTGTGCTCTCCTTTTTTGCTTTTCCTACGGCTTTCTTATTGGTGCGTGGAAGCTCACGAGGCTATGTGTACATCGCACGATATAAGGCAACTTATTTTCAATCTTGCCGTAACGATAAATTAGCATAAAAATATATTTTGTTTTATAGGTAGATCGGTTCAGCGTCTATAAATAAATGACGACTGTGGAGAAGACATCGGCACATCGCTCTGTATGTAGTGCCGCTCTTTTTTGTATTGTGTTGTGTGTTTTGTATTCGTGCTAATGTATAACAGACAAGGCTAGTTAGAGTATTACTTTAAATGAAGACTTCTTCCTGTGCAGAATATAGGCAATAAAATCGGAATAAGAAAAATGAAGAAAATTGATACCTTTCGCGCTTCCTAAGATCGCGAAGTAATTTCTCGATATGTTATGTAAAACAAATAGTTTCTTCATTTACGCAAGTTGTGTAGTATATGACGTTAGCAGAACGTGAATCAGCGATTTGCATCATACACTCGGATGATTACGGATTGCTGCTGTGTAATTTCTGATGTGTTATTATCGTATTATACTCGAAAAAGGTAGCTGCCGCTGCTTATTAAACAAGGGTCCTATTTTTCTAATGTTTGTTTAGCAGTCCTATTCCATTTCTGCTAGGTTTTTGATTGCGGTCACCCGCATTAAGGGCAGACCACAATTCGAGCAACAGATAAATGTCGACCATGATCGATAGATCGATATCGTCGTCCACTATTCGCTGTCTGGAACAAACGCAGATCCAGACGAAGTCACTTGCTGCTCAGATCGTGAAAATATTGAAGTATAAGAAAAGAAATTTTTTAAGGAGTAGCATTGACCTGGCAAGTCAGTCAGGAGTACGAACACGAAAGGAAAAATACTGCTTAACCAGTAACCCCGGTCGCGCTACCGTGAAGCTGGCAATCGCTCTATATAGCTAATCCAAGTATCAGCTCCCAACGCCTTCCAGCACCCTCTGTCCCTTTTACTTTCCCTATTCGACCGGAAGTCAACGAGTGCACTCCCCCGAGGAAATTAGAGATAAGGCCTTCGTGGGCCTTACTGCGGGATCCCTCGAACTTCGTGTTCCAAGGCTTTGGGATACGAAGGGAGGCTTTGGCTTGCTTGCCCGCTGCTTGCCAGTTTCCGCCTGCCTTTGGCTCTGCTGCTGGCGGCTTAAATTGCAAAGACATCCGAGAAAAAACCGAAGGAAAGGGAAACGTGGATTTTATGGGACAAAATCATCCTCATGACCAAGATGATTGTTATGATGATGATGATGGCGAGGAGCGAGTACAGAAACAGTACTGCTGGCGAACAGTAGCGGGTGCTGCGGTTCTGTTGGTGCTGCTGAACGTGTGGAAGGCCCGCCAGGGGGCGGAGTCAAAGATCACACACACATACACACCCTATACACTTGTCCTGCTTCTGCTGCTGCCACTGCTTCACTCAGTGCATGCAAACAACTCGTCCCGCAATGAGACGGCAGCTTGACATGAAGATACACAGCGATCCGCCCAGTGGCATTCGTGGACCTTGGCCGACGACACCCACGCCGTACGAAACGAAAAAACAACACAGTTCCATAGACAAGAGGGGGTCGGACGCGATTACGATCGCACGCTACGAACGCACACAGACATACATAGTGACTTATATAGTGAGTCGTATGGCACAAGCCTCACTTATCCAAAGAAAAAGAGAACAGGATTCGGGTAGAAGGCACTGACTTGAGAATATTGCTAGAGGATCGAGTAACGAATCTTTTGGCCTTCTGCAGCCGATTGCGGGTGTCGAATTGGATGACAGTGGCGGTAATTGAATCAACGATTACAATGTCTAAAAGCTCCAAAAGAAAAGACTCTTACTTCAGCGCTCGTTAGTAGTTGCTCGTATGGCCTGTGATAGAGAAAGCGTGGCCGATAGCGACAAAAACAGTTGCGGTCAGATCGACACTATAGAGGTCTTCTCTGTCATTCTCGATATATGCGTGAAGTTGGAGAACTCACAGTTGTATCGTCTTGATCGTATTGTATCTTAGACTTGCAGGACTGAGCCATTAGCAGGAGGGTGTGCAGCACGCAGGCGGAGTGACAAAAAGGTACAATAGAATAAGCGTACTATCTTGAGTTATATTTAGCTTGGGATGAGTGGGTTTGTTATCTCTATCCATTAGCTCAGAATAATTGGCAATTTTTTGTCGTTATTATAATAGTATCCCGTGGATGTAGGGAAGATGCATGTAGACATTAGAAAAGCTATCGTTTGCATTATGTATTAGAACTTCACTCTATCGCTTGTTTGCCTGCATTGATACTTGCTCTGACCACGCATGCTGTGAAGATGAACGCATCGTTTTAGAGCTTGAGGTAAATGTTGAGAACGCAAAAATGTTTTAAATCTCTCAATTCTTCCTCTTCATCGCTATATAAAACCTCATTCAATATATAAGGTGCTGATTTCTTTGCGACTGGGTCTTGCAGTCGAAATAAGTAAATACCTATTTCGAGTAGCTGATATACGCCAAATGTTTCTAGGTGAAAGAAAAAAGGGAAACGATTAAGAGAAATGTGACTATGGTATTTTTAAGACTCTAGTCTTAGATGGTTTTAATGTCTACCTAGAAAATCCCAAACGAATTAGTGCAAAGAAAGTAATGCTCAAAGGAAAGGTGCGCACCATAAGAACGGTACAAGTGTAACAAGGTAGATTTGCCGCAAGAAAGAAGCTCTGCCAGATCCGTAAATTTATCGACATTTATAAATTGCCTCTTGTCGATATGGAGGTCATTATTAAAAATTGCAATGACAGTTGCCACCGACACCCCCAAACAACCCCTTACAGATGCTCCATTTGCCTCCACGATTTTTCTTTTCTGTCGCTCAAATACCGAGACTTTTAGTACATTGATTCAGTGAAGTTCGATCTTGGCTTCGGCTCACTTTATCCTCTTACCTCGAGCCTGACCACACTTTGAGGCAGCACACCCGCTAGAGGCCACACTCTTCTCATCAGCTGTTGAGCCGAAAAGGCTGGGCTACTACTTTTTTTTTATCCAGTCTTTGTCATCATTAGTATTCCTGTTCCTCACAAACAAAGCAACATAAAAAATCGCTATCACACTTCACTCTTGATACGCATCGGCCTTCGCAACAAACAGTTTAAAAATTGAATTCTGTTCGTGCGCCTTCAGAGCGTCCACAATACTCACCACCCTTGCGGGGCTGTGTGTAGAACCTGCGGCTATTAGTACAATTAATATTGTCAAATGAGCGATTCAAAATAATTTTCGGTTTAACAATAAAAAGGTTCACACTTCTTATAACGTCGATTGGCCAGTCTTCCTTTAGATCTCCCGCTCTGTCTAAGTCTACAGTGAGAGCGAGGCTAGAGAAATGGACGTTTGAACCTGTATCAAGTAAAACACTACGTAATCTGTTTAGTCGTGTGTTTATGACACCCTCGTGCATTCATTAGTGAAATTTTTATATCTGCCATTTCCTATATATATACATATATTTCTGTTACATGTTTCCTGCAGTCCGCCTAAAATGCAAAATCGAGGCGTTCACTCTAATAATAACGGAAAAACATTATCATTTTTGTTAATATCATAAAAATTGTGCTAATCGGGATTTGTTCTAAAACAGTTATAAGTATAGGTATCTCATACATACAAAGTTAAGACTATGGATTCAAGCTTTAAAACTAAAAATTCACAACAAGCCACAGGAGTATGAAATTAAGAAATCTTACAATTAAAACAATCTTTTAGATGTATATGCTTAAAATAGTTTACTTAAAAAAATTAGGCAAAGTCATATCAGTTTTTTTTTTGCATTTGAACGATTCAACGATATTTCTTTACACCGCGTGGAATTTGCCGAGAAGTTAAAAGTAAATTTCAATCAGATGATGTCTTTCTATTCATTAGTGAAACTTGCTAACGTCAGGTCAAGAATAAACCCCTAATTAAAAAAACTGCTTGCTACTCTTAAACTACGACTAAAGTCTGTTGATGGCACAGAGTTGGCCGGACCTCTGGCACTCGCGGTCCATCTTGAGGACACGCTACACATTGAGGAAGACACACAGAGAAAGATCAGGTTACTTTGTTCTATCTTTTGTAGAGACTTTTAACAACGTACAGTTCAGCTCGACTATAAGCATCAGATGAAGACCACAGAGCTTTGAAACTATCGTGTCAATCTATTACCGCTTATAAGCGCAGAACCTACGCACTTGTGGCCAGACATCGTGGATGGACTAGTCCTAAGGCATACTGGTGCCTTTTCTGCTCTTTCTAAGTCGTTTCCCAGCCTGGGAATCAAGTGCATCAACGTAGAGAAGTTGGTTACAAAATGACCAGAGTATGAAGATGGAGACCAAGGATAACTGTGTGACCTTGGCTTGGTTACAATAAAACTGAACTAGAAGAAAGATTCGTACGAAATTCATAAATTACAACAGTGTTGTTTTTCCTTAATAAATTAAAAATATAAGTTCATCTATCCATCAAAAAATCTACTTGCTTTAAAAACCTACAATAGATAAAAAAAATTCTAGGTCGCATTATTGATCAATTGAAATGTCGGTTGGTGAATTTCTTTATACCATAGCTCCGGTTTTAAAGGCTTCAGCCTCAGTTGACAAGCGCCGTTTGGTTGTGGCATCGGATTCAGAAACCTACGATACAAACCGTGAAACGATTTGATCAATGTCTTTTCGCTTCTTTGTTCACACAAATTGCCTAGTCTTTGAGTCGTTGGCGAAAGACAAAGTAATGATTTCTGGCTTTCTCAAGCAAAGGTTTTGCCATCCAAGCCGCCGTATCAAACTATTTGTCTCAACAGTAACCTACGAAGTGAATGAGTTCTGCTGTTGGTTGGTAAGAAAGGTAGGTACGCCATGCATAATTAAGGCAAGATAGGTATTTTGTAGTGTCCGGGATGGTGCAATAGTAACGTGTTCTCTTACAAAACTTGTACATTCTCTTGGCCAGATTTTAGTCTCAAGGGCACCACAACTTCCGACCTTGAAGGTTCTTAAAGTAGTACTACAGGAAAAATCATGAATTTCGCGCGCGAGACATCGTGATCACACAACCTCCAGATGTATTTCCTTTTCACTTTTTTGGGGTACTTTTCATTAGAACACTTCACTGTGGAAAAAATCTCTGCGAATTAGTTTCAAGCGTTTGTGAACTTGCCCTTAACCAAAAATGATATCAACTTCGGTATCGCCTTAACTATCACCGTCACTTGCCTAATAAGATCAGGAACATATAAGGTGGTTTAGGGCCGAAGGTTGTTCCTATGATAACTTCGTGGGTAACGTATATGCCTGCTAATCTTAGCCACACGTTATGGTCTGAACTTGGGGGTACGCACACTTTGTTTCGTGCTGTAAGCCAACTGACCGTCTGTCTGATGGCATGCCTAACGGCGACGTAGAGCTCGAAACATAGAGGCTCCAAACTTCACTTAAGGTAATGGCCCAAGTTACTGAAATCCGAGGTTTTGGTCAATGCGAGCCGTACAGAACCAAGTAAATGCTTCTGAGATGCCGCTCAATTCGCGGTTAAGCATTTGACTCATGCTCTCTAATGAAAAAGAAAAGCAAGACCGGGCATACAAATGTTGTTTCAGGTTGGTCGACCGCCGTGTTAAGGCAATCCTAAACACAAAGCTCGAAGTTTTTATTTGTAGATACTTTGTACTATCGTGTGAGAAGCTCGAGTGATAATATCCCCAAGTGACGGCAGACGAGGCGAATTCTGGGTTGCCGGATACGACTAGCTGAAGCAATGACTTGTCAGATTTACAAGAGCAGTCAGGCTTTCACACAGCATAGCAGTTTTCTAGCAGCTTGTCGCAAGGGGCTAGTCGAAGCCCAATAAAAATGCGTAAAACTATCTAACGATCTGTTGAACAACTTACCCCATGCCAAGTTTATCACACATATTAACAGCACGTCGGCATGGAAGGAAACCCTTGTGAGCTACCACAGCTGATGGTTGAACCCCCTGGGCCTTTTTCACCCACTTTCGCTATTAAGCAAAGCGAAATGTTGATGCTAGCGAAAAATAGCTTACGCAACCATTTGCAGCATCTTCAAGTGTATCGGCACATCTACAAAAAATTCCATTGCGCAAACAAAACGTTACGTAATGTTAAGACCTACCTTATTACCAACGTAAGTTTGCGCGCACTTGATATTCGTTTGCACGTCGTAAAGCATAGTAATTGTTAAATGATTATATCCTAGACTGTTAGAAAATGGTACCGCCTCGATTTATAACTGCGTTGCTTTCAGTTGCTGTTCTTTTAGCCACTATCTGCGCTTTGCCTCTTCGCGAATCTAACAACACCTCCATTTTAACTACACGAACGAGAGAATCCGTGAGACACGAGAAAAAGTGAGACGGAATACAAGATGGCGCTACAGATTCAGTTTGTTTAAGTCTTCCAGCGGCAGTAGCAGTTACAGCGGTGCTCCGAAGACCTCGTCTTCGTGAAATATCGCATCTCATTTCAGCCTTTGTGTTCCAATCAGGTCAGATCTCGAATTGTTCGTTGCTTTGCTGCAAGTTTGATTGCTCTCCAAATGTATTTCGAGCTGCAGAGTTCGACTTTAGCTCACTCACCCCTTCGACCTTCTCGGTTAGGCTTCGTCTGCTCTGTCTCCAAAACGTCCTTTACCTCTGGATGTCTCACGAACTCACTTCTTCTTTATGTGGATCCATTTGGCTTTCTCGTCCATTCGAGAGACGTTCGATCGAATTGGATTCCTTCAATTGGCTTCGCCGTGGCTGAAAGGCAGGAGGGCTGCGCGAGCAGTGCAACGCGAGACGACAAATCGACCACTACTTTTTTCTCCTTGGGGGAGCCTCGGAACAGCAGAAGCTGCCGGTGCCCCTCATCAGTGCATGCCGATGCACACATTGATACGATCACATACGCACACTCACTTTCGGAAAGGCAGACATTCGATTGACTCGATTGTCGATGTCCAACGAATGTTACCTATGTGTTACCCATGTCTTACCTTTCTAAGCTGTATGTACAGAGAGCGAAGCCCTGCGTAGTGGCAAATTGTGGGCAAGTACCTGTGCAAGAATAAGGCTTTATGCTCGTTCTCTCGTATTGCTCCTCCAATACTTGGCCATTGCTTGCTATTAGCCAACGTTCAACTGGAGTCTTACCATGACTCGATCGACTGGTGATCGAGCAGCCATTCCTAGTGTCCTAGAACTTTGCTTCACTCTTAAACGCATCCATCTATTTAGTTGGTGTAACCTACTTTGCTACTTTGAATAGGGCCAAGAGACAATGGCGGGAAAACACTCCAGGATCGGAGGAAAGCCGGTGTCGCGCAGTATCCGAATTGTGCCGAAGAGAGTTGCGAGCAAAGCGGCCCACAGATGGAAGAGTCCAATCGAAATCAGCTAAAGACAAATCTATTTTTTGCTTGCTTCTTTTGTCTCGCCTGCCAGACCGCTTGGGCGGGCTGTGCTTATATGGGGCGACGCTGTCCGCAGATAAATGATGCTCGCTCCAACGGCAATTCTGTGTTCAATCAGATTGTCGCTGAGTGTTCACTTGAAGATCATCCGATCATCAGCGAAACTTCCATTTGAAAATAGGTAGAAAAATAGAGAATAACACGCTGAACGATCGACTAAAACTAATACACGCCAACTAAATAACACACCCGTGCTTAGGATAACGAATGATGATATAGATGCGTACTGTTTAACAATCAGCGATTTCATTTGCTTAAGGAGAGGAGCAGGCAGCTGATAGACTAGCCGTAAGGAAAAAAATCAAAGAAAGAATTACCTAGAAAATTCACGGTTGGAGCAGACGATTGTGACTAGTGGAATGATTTATAGGAGTTTTTAATCTTAAAATCAAGTCAATAGATTCGATCCTATTTGCCTGCGTAGAAATAAATACAGCATTTCGTAGAAATCTCGGTATTTTTTTGTATATGTATGTTTAACTTTTGCATACAATGCTTCAACTAAATTCTAGTCTAGAGATGAACGAAAGAGACGATGACCCTATCAAAGATTTTCGTATGATCGGAAGGATCCACAAAGAACGAAATCGAGAAGATTTGCACAGATATGCACTGTATGCGGAAGGTGAAGATCCCCTACATTAAATAGCGCGTGCAATGATACACAAATCATAATAAAATGGTATGTTTTCGAAAAATGTGCGTATATTACCGTAGAGTACGACCCAAGTTTACTCTATAGAGATATTCTTCAAGCTTCCCTTAAAAAGTGTCCCATACATTTTTCAATTCGAGTTAGGGGGCAAGCAGGTTATGCGAAGGACAAACATAGGAAAACTTAGCTGTGTTTGTCCAATACATCTTTTACCACTCAAACAGTACGGAATGAGCAATTAATCTATATAGAGTGTCCGACCGATAAGGTACGGCATTTTTTAATTCGTTTGGCAGTCGTCGTGACAGCTGGTGCCACCTGCAACGTGATTTGGTTGAAGCCGAATGCTGGTGGTAGCAAGGCCTTTTCTGACCGACCTGAACTTCTCTATTAAGGAGTGAACCAACTCTGATTCGATTCCACCCAGTGTCTTTAGTAGCTATATTTTAAACCTGAAATAGATTCAGTTTAATACTGGCGTTTTTTCTTTTCCTTTAAATGTTTTTATTTATGTCACAATGGTTGAAAGCTATAATATTTTTGCTTTGTAAAGCTAGACACTAATCCAAACAAATAATTATCTGACCAATGATTTGGGCAAACTATTAGGTGATGACATACATAAAAATATAAACCAAATATAATCTCGAATATGTTTTTAATTAAAAAAATATTTAACAGTCGCTTTCTACTGATATCGAGTACATAGTAAACAGACTGATCGTATTTTAAAATCAGTAACTCGTACGTCCTATCGGCGATTTAACATAAAATATGACGCTACCAGATATATATATACATTTTTTTCCGAATAACGACATTTAAGCATCATCAGATACTCTGTCTGATAAGATGTCTGATTTTGAATCTAGCATATTTAGATAAGAGTTCCTGTAGGACGTGTATCGCTAATTTTAATGAATTACGTCGCTTGCCGATAATGTCGCATGTTCTGGCAAGACCCGAACGCTCCCCTTTTGTATTGCTAATTAGACTTCAATTAGCACTAACGTTATCTGTAGTGGGGGAGTAAAATTATGGCCAGAATTAAAGCGTAAGAAGAGTTAACGTACGATGAGTTCCTCGTGGTTTAGTCCCTTTCCCCAAAGTCAGAGTTCTAATAGTAGTAATTTTACCGGCTTGTTATTTTCCATAGCTAAACCGAGGTGTCAGTAATGTATAAGGGTCGAGACAATTTTTTAGAATATGCAT